AAATACGTACGTCAAGTAAGCAAAAGCAACAACACCCAAATATAAGGAATAAAAGGATACGGATGGCTCTCAAGAGCCCTTTTCCTCTTTTGCCATACTTGACCTCATCTCATTAACCCTCCGTCAATGTATACCGGGTAATCATGACCGTAGACTTCTCTTTACTCCAATTATCCGTCCACCTCACTTTCCCCTTACCGGGCCCGAACACCAAGCAGTACAGAATTGGTATTACTCGAGTATATCGGAATCAAGGGTCTCATACCCAAAGATTCCCAAATACAGTCCCCATGACTTGTCAAACGTCCCCGACCAAGTCCTTACTGGCTCGAGTCCATTGACTTCCAATGAGATAGAGCTCAGAGTGAACGGCAAAAGTCCAGAGTTACAGTAAAGGTTGGTATCCAATCGACACCAAATCAAGTACAATCAAGAGTATTCAAGTGATATCATAAACAAGCAAGTAGGCCTAATATAATAACCAGTCAAGGAGGCCAGAGAGTACGAGAGTGGTAAAGTACACCCTCGTCTCACCTAGCTCAAACAATCATCACAACTAGCCCAAATCACAGAATTCAAGTACAAGAAAGCCACGGAATAACAAATATGTGAGTAGTATACTCACCAAGTCAAATAAAGAAATTTCACAAGTTTTCGCCCGACGTGAGCCTCGGATCACCGGCGCGCCCTATAATAATTAAGAAAGTACAATTAAGACTCAAACACGAGTCGAATACCTTATACTAGGAACTATTAAGGTAAAACCCAAATATAGTTTGGAAATAGGAAATACATAGCATTTAGGGTTAACAGTAGAAACAATCCCTAAAACTGCTCATTTCTATCCAATCACAACCCAACTCACAAGAACCTAATACCCCAGACACTTGGACAGCATTTTCCCTAAAATTTCAGCTTTTCCAACCTACAAAACAACTATTAAAAGCCATCCAACACAACCACAAGCACCCAAGTAATTCATAAGCCATTCAATATATTTCATTAGGGTCACAATACCCCTCAATTAGAGCCAATTAGAAGCTCAACAATCATCCATAGAAAACCCCCAATTTGAAATCCTAAATCTGAAATTTTTCGCACAAGCGGAAATTTTCCGCAAATAACCACAATTAACGTTCAAGAGAGCTATTTAACACCATTTAGAACCATCAATTCAAGCCCAAACATATCCATCATAGGAAAACATAAATAAATCCACAAAATCAGAAAATTAGCTAGCTTCACTCCAATCCACCAAATCTTCCGTAAAATCACGTATATAGCTACTATAAGGCACCAATTGGCCAAAATTAGAAACAAAAGATGAGTTCCAAGCAAGATACCTTAGTTCTTCAAGAAAAGTTGTAGCTTAGGAGGTTTTCTTCCAAAACAACACCACCAAGTTCTTCAAACACCCTTAGCAAGATGATTTTATGGACTAATTCAAGAAACAATCAGTTAATTTTCAAGATTTGGCAAGAATTTGAAGATAGAAGGTTGAAGATTTCTTCCCTTTTCTTCCTAGAGGAATTCGGCCAAGAGAGGATGAAGAATGAAGATGTCTTGGTCAAAATTAGACTTTTAAGTAAAGATAAAAAAAGTTAGGCAAAGTTAAGCAAGTTTAATCCAACACGAATTGGACACTTGGCACTTTGTTTTGTTTAGAGTTATCTTCTTGTCCCTCCATAATTAAACCATCTAGATAACCTCTAATCATCTACTAACACATAGTAATTAAATCCCTTTATGGAAAATTGAATTGAATTGGCCGAAATTCTCTCACTAAATACACTAGTGGGCCCCACGTCCAAAATATACTCCTAATTTCTCACGAACTATCTTATACTAGAAAAATGATTTAAAAACTATATTTCCTGATAACATGCGGATAAAAGTAATATAATAAGAAAATAAAAGAAAACGGGTGCACAGGAATAAAACCCTAAATTTTTTTTTTCTGTTCTGGGTTCTCACAGAACCAAGCACGTTCCTGATGAAATTAATGGGCATTTGCGCTATTACACTGCAATGGAGTAAAAGGCAACAGTAGTTTTACCTTGGTTGCACAAAATCTTGGAAACAATAAATGGTTTACGGCCATCCAGAATGTATTGAGAAAAGAAAAGATTATGGAACTTCTATAGCTTGGCAACAAAAGCTAGCAGCTTGTAAAAGATTGTTAAAAGTGCTTAGGACGATGAGATTAATAACATAAGTAGCTTTATGAGCAAACAATAACTTGTTTAGCAACTGTTGCCATTTGACAACTATTTGTTGCGCTGCTTCTTTGGAGTGGCTTCCTCAGATTCATCAAAACTACTTCGAAGACAGCGGTGTGTTTTAGATGGCAATTCTTCTTTCTCTGAAAAAAGAAAATAATTCGACAGTCAAAATAATATTTTAAGAAAGTTAGTATGAACAAGAGTTCAAACTACATACCTGGAGGTAAAGCAACACAAGAAGTAGCCTGATTATTACTATTCTGAAGGTAACTCTCCTTGTCTGCAAAAGGAAAATATTAGGCCAGCGAAATTAGTTGTTACATACATGGAAACAGCTATAGCAAAAGCATCACATCTACATCAAAAACTTAGAGCTTCAAGAAGCGCACCAGTCCCAGATTTCGAACCAACATGCATCTGATTCTCAGCAGAGGTAGTCTCAGCATTTTCTTCAAAATAATATACAACAGTGTAGTTCTGATATGATCCATCATTTCTTGTGCTTCCTGGTTTAAGTTGTACTATGAACATTTTATTCTTCAAGGCTTCATGGGTCCTAGCTAAAGGCAGGTCTTCATTCTATTAAGGGGGAAACAAACTGCAGGAATTAGAGCAAAGATATGGCATGGTCTGATATACATATATTGTCTATTTTTACGTATATAAGGCCTCAAATTAAACAAGGGAAAAACACTGCTCATTTAAACCTTGTTGAAGGAATCCATTGCTTGTAAAGCAGTAAATCCAAGCAATGCCTCGGCTTGTTCACCAAAAACTGATGCGGTAAGCGTGTCAATTTGATCAGTAAGGTCAATATCAAAGCGGCATCTGCAATAGATATATGTGAAAAAAAGATAAATATTTATGCAAGATATTCAGCAGGGTTGGAGAAATTCAGAAATTGCTGTAAATATCTTTCCTTGGCTGAACAGATTGTTTTTCATTGCAATGGTTGCAAGTATAAGTGCATCCATAGTCAGCTGAAGTTAGGCGACGGCACTTTACACATGCCATATACCAATACTTTTGCAGTATGTGTTCAAAAGAGAACATGCACTTGACCCACGAAACCTTTCAGGATAAGAATAGTGTTATCTGATTTATAATAGGCGGTAGAATGAAATGGAAACTTACTCAATAAAAGACAACTGCAGCTTACCTTTTCAGTTGGCAAAACATCTCGTATAGCAGTTAGTTTTTGTTGAGGGCCGTAGAACATTTTAGGAGATTGGTTACTGTACGGCTTATCACGGCAGAGAGCAAGTAATTCCTTGTCATTCCTTGATGCCCTATGCATATATAATAACAGAGAGCAGAGCAGATAAATAATTAGTGGAATCGAAAACGTAAATGTACTTTTTTTTACGCTAATGATTACCAATTTTTTAAGCTTCTAGCATCTCCAACAGGTGGATCAACAACAATTACTGAGTCATTTCTTATTGACAGTGCTATTCCTGTTAGAACAATTACAACAACGTGAGTTTAATTAGTAAAACAATAGTATCTGAGGATGAACAAAACGGATCAAAGATTCTATATACCATTGTACGTGACAACTTTAAGTCTACGGCATATAACAACTGGATGCCTGTTGCGGTGGTCTGTAAGTAGCTTCCCTTCATTCTCGACAAATGCATTCCACAAAGATAGCACAGTAGGGACCATCCTAACATGTAAAGCAACAAGAAGAAATATTTTTTAGATAAAACTCATAAACAATTTTGTATTGAGACTGAAAGATTTTGAAGCAAAGACAAAATGATATACTCTTCATTCATAATAAGAAATCTCTGGACAAATGACTCTTGCGAATCATTTTTAATTGGAACAACAGGCATTGCGTCAACAACGATGGCCATAATATCTGATAAACGATGTAAAGAAGTAATTAGTTAGGTTTTCAATCAAAGTTCTGGGATTGACTACAATAGAACTGATCAGAAGCAGAACTCATACTGACCAACAGTTTGAGACTTTGAATTAGCATAATTGGCGAACTCAGATGGCAAAACCATGCTCCCCTGTTCATTAAGCTCCTCAACAACAGTTTGTGTGCTTATCACCCACTGCATCGTAAGGCCATTAGTTTGATACTGCTCCTCAATTTCTCTGACATCAGCATTTGATATCAGATACTTCTTAAAAACATGGAGTTTTGTTCCCATCTTTTCAATAGCAGCATTAAACATAATTCCCTCAACTCTGGATCCCTGGTATTACATTCAAAAGAATATGTTAACTCTGTATATTATTTTAGTTAAGCAAAAATATAGGCCAATCAATTCATCACAAAGTGTGGTTCATACCTGTTCATCAGCAAAAATAAATTTCTGGTATCTTGCGGGAGACTTTTGTGAAGAAGCGACGTGCATCTTTTCCTGAACAGTAACGTGGGCTGACAATCCTCTCATTCTTATCAGCAATGCAGAGCAGATTCACCATTCTACTAAAAAAGAAAAGTTTTAAGTAAGTATAACTGATGAGCCTGTAGTATTGGGACAATTGCCTCGGGTTTCCTTTGAACTGGCATTCTTAACTAAAACATTAGCAATCAAATACTTAAAGATAAAACTTTTTTATGCTTAAAACAAAGCAGGACAATCCACTATACTGCTGATTAATAAAATCCCACATTGTAAATTAAGATTTACTTCAAGGTCAAAGAACAGTTGCATACAAAACTTAACTATTTAAATGATGAGGAAAGTACAATCCAGAAATAGAGCATTTAAGGGAGTAAATTGACAAATGGGAAAAACAAACCAGAAATAAAAGCTACTGCTTAGCTAATGTAAGAACTTCATCAAAGACCACATTCCTAGTTTTGCATTCAGTGACTGTGTCACGATATGTTGCTGGTACTATTAGGACTTTAACTGCAGATGAACTTTTTGCACGGGAAAGGGCAACGTATAGCTGGCCGTGAGAAAAAACAGGTTCACGCAAGTAAATCCCTACATCATCCAAAGTCTGTCCTTGAGACTTGTTTATTGTCATGGCAAAGCACAATTTGATAGGAAACTGAGTTCTTTTAAAGGGGATGCCATTCTTTTCGCCGTCGGGAGTTTGGAGAGGAATCTTTGGCAAGAAGACTCTTTTACCGCGATACTAACCCACTGCAATCTCTGCACAAATAGTGTTGTGCCGGAGTCTCGGCATATAAGCCTAGTGCCATTACAAAGACCTTCCATTGGGTTTAAGTTTCTAGGAAGAATAACTGGACAGTTCTCCTTTAAAATTAGCTTATGAGGGGGTAACCCCTTTGGACTTAAAGAATTGAGAAAATCTTCATAGTCGCCTTGATCTTTTTCGTTTAAAGTTCTATCAGAACTTATATAAACATGCGGATCTTTAGGAAACCTATCAATAATGATCTGGTTAACATCATCAACAGCATTGTTTGTTGGTGATAGAATACACCGATTAGTCATCTGATATAGATCTGAAGCATAGATGTTTAGATCACCAAAAACAGATTCTATTAACCTGGTGATTAAAACACAAAGTCAGAACAAAATACCGAGGGTCAACTAAAAGTAACCTATCACATAAATAAATGATATAGTAACACTATACAGAAGAAATATAGTCACCTGTTAAGAAAAGCTTCCTTTCCATCATAAGGGATGATCATATCCTTTCATAAAGATATTTTGCCGTCTTTGTCTTTTGGTTCACGGCCCTCGCCTATCCGTAGCAAGAATTCAGAGAAAGCACGATCCATAACAGCCCTCATATTTTCAGTTAAAGTAATTTTCTGCAAAGCAGTCCAGAGAGGGGAGTTAACAAAACTTGACTGAACCAAAACATCTCTTGTTGCATCTCGAATCACAGGTAGGGTCTGCCTGAAATCACCTCCGAAAACCACTACCTTGCCACCAAAAGGATCATCGCTTTCCATTATATCTCTGAGAAGCATATCAAATGCTTCGATTGTTTCCTTCTTAGCCATTGAAGCTTCATCCCACAATATAAGTTTGGCCTCTATAAGTAACTTAGCAATAGAGCTTTGCTTACTAACTTGGCAAGCCTTAGTTTCAGATATGTCAAGAGGGATCTTAAAGCGTGAATGCGCAGTCCTCCCACCAGGAAGAATGGAGGCAGCAACACCGGACGAAGCTTCAGCAATGGCTATATAGCCTTGGGAACGCAGTGTAGCAAGGAGTGATAGATAAAGGAAAGTTTTCTCAGTCCCACCAGGCCCGTCGATGAAAAAACTTTGGGCTTTGGTCGAGAAAACTTGTGCCATGATAGACACATTTCTGACCTGCATTAAATTTTGAAGACATTAGCAAATCCTCCTCTGCGAACTGAACACTTCTTTCAGTTTCAATTTCCTTTGTAATCCGCTGATCCAATGTAACACCAAGATAATCAGAAACCAAGTGAAAATCATTTACACTTTTACCCATTTGTTCCAAAAATTTGCTGAGCTCCTGAAGAACCAACATTCTCATGTATTCAGAAGAATATCCAGTGAGTGAACTATGTTTTTTATAATCCCTTGATAGTTCAGTCTCATACTTTTCCCACAAGTGTTTGGGGTTTGATGGGGAGCAGAAAGCTAGCATCACAGCAAACAAGCTTCTGAGCGAAGAAGGCATCTGGAAAGTAGCAGCCTCATCAAGGGTGTCTTCAATATACGTATCTGTTTGTAACAATCCCATCTGGAAAGCAGCTTCTCTGTAGGAATTCATACGGATGCCATTAACAGTTAGCAAGTGGTCAAATGAAGTAGGTGCACAGACACAAGACAAAAGCAACCTCAAGAAATATTTCTATCCTTCTGCTGGGCTAACAGTCACCAATCGGCCAACAACTTTTCGCTGTTTTCTTTGAGACCAACGCTTCTTGGCTGGCTTCCATACAAAAACTCAGGAAATTGTTTATAAAGCAGCTTGAGCTCCTGAGCATACTTATTTGTTTGATTCATATAAAAGAACTCAGTCAGCATTGTCTTTGAGAAGTCAACATCAGCAACCAAATCAGCAAGATTAGTTTTTCTGTAAAAAGAAACCATTTGCTCTCCAGGCAGATGGACCTGTAATGCGTAGACGCTCGGGGTCATTTCATTTAAACCAAACCGAAATATGCACCAAAAAACTTCTGCAGCAGCGACCCATCGCCCAGACTGGAAGTCGGAAATCTCATCAACATCTTCAAAGGTTTTGTCAGAGTGGATATAAAAGCTCACACGATCATGTCCTTTATAAACATATTTGTACAGATACTTAACTAATTTAATAGTGGAACAGATTTCCACATTCAAGTGGCAGTCAAACAATGCTAGAAGGTATGGATTATATGGAACAACCCATCTGTTATCCAACAAATGATCCCTTACTCTTACACAGCGACCATCCATCCTTCTCCTATAGTGAGGATAACCATCCTCTGTATAAGTTGTGTAGTCAGTGAAACTCTTTGGATAATGGTTCTTGCACACTCCATCTTTCATACAAATATTATTTTTTTTTAACGAATCACATGGACCATGCAATATGTGTTTCATAACCAGAAAGTGCAAATGAGGTTGCTTCGCAAGATCAGGTATTTCAGCGGAAACTATCATGTCATAAGCTTCAGGATTGAGGGGCTTATATTCTGGTTTCAAAATGATCAACATATGAGCATGAGGAAGTCCTCTTTTTTGAAACTCAATCACATACACACAAGCAGCAACTTCACCAAATATTTTCTTTTTTGTGATTTCAGCCTTTAATAATTCCAACTTTGCTCTAAACACTTTTGAAACTAAATCATGTCTATCCTGAGCTTCCTCTCCGTATTTGAGGTTGTCCTGTATTTCCTTCCACATCCTATTACAAGTCATGGTAATGAATATGTCAGGTTTACCGTACCTCTGGACCAAAGACATAGCATCTATATACCTCCGCCTCATGTCCCTTGGACCACCAATAAAGGAAGATGGAAGGTCAACTCTTCGGCCAACCTTACTACCTTCGGTCTGACCAGAAGAGATGCTATTTGTTACATCTTTAAGAATTTTAGTTCTAATTTCTTTTTGTTTTTTCCTATGGAATTCAAGCCTAGAGGTCTCTATCTTAACATAAATATCAACGGCGAACTGCTACATGAGTCTCCCTGTGTGTAAGAGCATTGACCTATCATTGTCTCTAATCTGCAATTTGTAGCAATAATACTCTCGAGCAGAAACAGTGTCACGTTTTTTTTCCCTCCTCAGCAGCTAAAAAATGAAAAACAAAAGATAAGAAATTTAATATTTTTAGATGTTATGCATTAACCATTGAAGAAATTATATATTGGCAGGACAAGTTTAAAAGACTTTTAAACAAGACATGAGGACAAACATAAAAGAGTAAATAACAGGCAGCAAGAATGACAATAAAAAAAATAAGCAGAATTAAGTAAAATTCTTCCCTTGCGGGGAAAACTGAATGTAGGACAGCAAAACGAAGAATGATCTTCAGAAATAAAGATACCTTCATTTTCCCTTTGAATAAGACCAATAGCTGTTCCTATTTGAGCGGCATTAACAAGACCACCATCATCAGTTTCCTTCCTCTTTCTTTTATCAGTAGTGGTGTTTTTTGGAATACCATAGTGCCAGCCAGCTTCACCTCGAGGAAACAACAGCAGATATTGCAGAGAATCGTAGCATGCAAAATAGTGTTGAATTCTATGGCTTGTATTTGCATGAGTATAAACTTGTATGTGGGGGCCCTTGTCTAAGGCTTCATTGTCAGTCTCTGTCCATATTGCAGCAACTTCTGAAGACGTTGGCATGTTATATAAACGCTGATCAAGCCCTGGATTGGAATTAAGAAATATACTATGGTCATCCAGATTAGGAAGTTCTCTTAGCGACTTAAAAACCTTGGTATAAGGATTCTGTTCAAGAATACCCATTAGGAGTTTAAGAGTGTTGTCACGTAATCTCGGAGAAGCGTCAAGTCTCTTCGACAGTTCCTCCTCTTGATCATAGAAGTATAGCTGGATACCAGTAGGAGGATGGCCATTTGGCTTCAGACTATTCAGAATGTGATAAATTTGGCCTTGTACACGAAAAGTGTAAACTCCCTTAGTATTCCTGGTCAGGTCCTTATCATATTTTGCAACAAAAGTGCTAAAGGCAAGATTATTATTGTATGTGCGGACATTCTTTCGGAAATGAATGCAGTCCTCATCTGTACCAGAATAGAGCCGGAAGAGGTCATAAGGCATCACAGGATGAACAACCGAAACCTCACCACCTGAACAGCAAAAATTCGGAGTTTCCAAATGGAATCGCTTAGCACCGCAGTGTTGACACATTGGCGCATCAGGGAGGACCAATGTTTCAGTTGGAATCTGTTTCAAGCGAGAAAAATTGTTTTTTTTGGTCCTCTGTCGCTTACCTAACAACATACAAAACCATATACTAATCAAATTCAAGGGGGGGGAAGGAAAAATAATGTGACCTGTAGCACCTGAAGGCACAGTTAGAGTAAAATATATACTAAAACTAACCGCTATTTTCGAGTTGTGTGCCAACAAGAATCTGTTGGATGCCGTTCTGTTTAGAGGAATCAGATGGTTCAACATTGATGATACAAGTTCCTTCTCCAACCAGGGAGTCAGTATACGCTAGCACAGCAAGTTTATAAGAAAAATTCATAAGAACTGAAAACATTTATAAAAGAGGCATTCAAATAAATAAGCAAACGGTTGTTAAGAAACAGAGTTTAAACTGAGTATCGCACCTTCAGGCACACAAGATTGCCCAGGAGTAGTAGCCAAAGAAGAGGGCAAAGCAGATGAAGGCAAAGCAGATGATGATGACTGGAGTTTTGTGGACATGCTATCAAACAAATCAGCTAATTCATTATTGTCAGGAATAGCGTTTGGTGCAGAGCTGCACATCTCAGGTGCAGAAGCATTCAGAATTTGCTCTGGTGGAGGCTTCCTGGCAAAGGCCCTATAGTTTTTCTGACAATGTTTAACTCCGGGGACATTGCATACAGGAGTAGAAGCCGTGGGTGTATCGACCTGCTCTGTTTTTTTCGCAACATATAACTCCCTCCTGCGCTGGCGAATTTTATTTTTTTGCTATTCTGGCATAGCTGAATAGCTAGACTACTCAGCAGTATGCACGTTACCTGCCTTTTTCCTAGCATACAGCTCTCGTCTTCGCTGCAATAACTCATCCTTTTTCTCTTTTGGCATATTAGCATAATGTATACGTCTAATGGTATTGCGGTCCATGTAGAAACTTACTATAGTATTTCATACAGTGAGGCAAAAGATTAGAGGGTAGCTATTTTTTGAGTTTATGAGAGAAACACGCTGCAACATTGCATATATTAAGGTAAAAGATAAACAGCTAGCCATTTTGAGCCGAGCATCTAGCAAGTAAATGCATAAACATAAGCATATAAATGCACAAACAGAAACATCTCCACCTAAATAGAACAAGTAAAAAGGCAACTGGACAGGTAACACTCAGAATAACACAACATCAGTTGAGTCTAAGGCATGGAAAGAGAGGAATGAACTAATGAACCTAGTCAGAAAAAAGCATATGCAGAATAAGGTAAAAAAGCATATTTCTACTGAACAATACCTGAAGGCCTTCAAGGGATCGAAAAGAGCCAGAGAATGATAAAAGACAAGTCACAGTAGAGCCTCAAGATTACTTGAGCTATCAGGAGCTCTCTGACAGGGGAAAAAGAGAAGAGAAGACTAGTGAGAACAGAAAAACAGAAGCTGGAAAGCGAGTAACTTCATGCCTAGAAATATACACACACATTAGGAACATTATTATGGCCAAGTAAAACAAGGAAATAGACTGATTAACTATTCAATGGTTTAGTAAAAGAAAAAAGAAAAAGTCTTAACAAAAACAGTAAAAAAACAAAAACAGTAATAGCAGATATATTTTCATTCATAATGAACTAAAAAAAGGCTTACTATGCCAGCTCTCATAACCAACAAATAGATTGCTTAACAATGCAATGGCTTAGGGGGGGAAAAAGAACCTCAGCTATGGTGTGTAAATTGTTAGAGTAACAGGCCATAGAGCAACCTAAGGAAAATATGGAAAGACATGGAACAAGTAAAACAGGAAACAGAGTACGTGCAACAGCTCCAGTATGTTCATGCATATACCAGAGATATGTTCATGCATATTTTCAATAGAGAATGAACAGAGGCATACCAGTATCCTAGGGAGGATAAATATATCCCTGAGGCAGAAGAAAAGAGATGAATGCGCAGGACTCTAGTTAGCATCAGCAGGTAACTACCAGTAGCAGCAGAGATATTTTCATTCATATGCAATAGAAAATGAATAGGGACATACCAGTATTATAGAGAAGATAAGTATATTCCTGAGGCAAAAGAAAAGAGATGAATCTGGGGGATTCTAGCTTTCATAACTAACTCCAACGTATGAGCTAGATAAGAAAAAGAAAGTTTAAAAGAGAGCTGTTGATAGTCTAACATTGTCTTCTGGACCACATCAGAGGCAAACAATAAAACAACAGCATCAGCAGGCAAGTACTAACTGAAGTCCATGTTCCAGGCTATTAAATGACTTAGTAACTTTGAAAGAAGGGGACATAGACGCAGCATTCAGTAAAAAGCAGAGTGCTTTACTGAAAAAGCTACCTAACTGCCAAAGATTCAGGATACAGAACCTACATAAGATGGGCAATAAGCTTTGGTCCATTTTGTTTTTTTTGTTTGATACATAGTTGGACATTTCTTGCAAGGCAAACAAACTTTTACATGGTCATAGGTTTTTTGTCTTTTTTTAAATGTTTTTTTATGAAATTAAGATGAGCAGATTATCAGCATAAACCTTCTTTAGCTAGTTCATCTTCTGCAGTACAATAGTTTCTTTTCAGGAGGCAGTTTATGGAAAAATGACTGTGTTTGACCTCTTTTACCTTTTTTTTTTATCAACAAACGTAAAGCAATCAGTTTAGCTTCGTGAAGATTGTTAACAAGCTACTATGTCACAACTTAGTAGTTTGCGCTTCCAAATTGCCTCACCAGGGAAACAACATTGTATAGCTCAGAATCTTATTTGCTTCCACAGTTTTTTCTTGGAACAAATAAATTGCTCAGGGATGGAAATTCACAAAGGACAGCAAGATACAAAAGGAAAATACTGCATGTTGCCTGATAACACCTATTTTTTTAATTTAAATAGATCCAAATTGTTCAATAACAAAACAGAAATCAAACAAAAAACATAGTCTAAACAACAGCCAGGCCATGAGAAAATAGCATGGGCTAAGATCCAAATGTGCAGAATGCCTAACCACCAACAAAACAAACAACCAACGACACGACAAATCCACCATGACTTGGCCTAACTGTAACAGCCAAAGGGAGCTCAATATAGCATAAGATATAAGCTATACATCCAAAAAAAAAAAACAAACAAGAGAAGTCTACACTAAAAGCTAAAAAGAATTAGGCAGCTTGTGCTTCAGTATCATTCACGTCATAGGAAGCGACGATTGTATAGCGAGCACCCTTTGTAACCCTAACAGCATGGTCCGAATGCTTAAGATAAAACAACATTACTCTTCCGTTAAGTGCACTCGCCACACGATCAGTAAGATGCACATCCTGGCGACAAAGTGAAAGCAATGACTTATTCTCATAGCCAAAAAACCAGCAAACAACATTACACTTTAGAAGCATATGTACAACAGGGAAATAGCAGTACCTCCTTATCAGCCTGATATAAACGGTGAGAATTGATACCTATTAACTTCTCGGCCTCATCTCCCATGGCTATTACATTGAGTGAACCAGTGCCATCCTTGATAGCAAGAGTCACACAAGCCCTTATAGCACAAACGAATAAGCAATTCATCTAACAAAAGAGGACTAAAAAACAGCAAAATACAATAAAAAACAGGAACAAACAAAAAATATAAAAGAGACTACCATAAGAACACCATACCTAGGGAAAGTATAAATGTCTCGGCTGCAATAGCGGCACATAATACCCCAGTTCAAAGAAAAATCATTAGGAAGATAGCAATGTGGACAGGCTAGATACCATAGTCTACCATTTCTATACTCAAGAGAAACCGTGCCTTTTATCCATGCAGTTCCTATGTCCTGTGGTGGGTAACATACAAAGTAAGGGGGAAAAGTTATGGGATACTCAAGGTGGATATGAAAACATTTATAGAGAAAGACTATAATTCCAGCAAGAATGTAATAGCAAACTCGCAAACTTCGTCGCCTGTGCAATGAATGAGATCTGACTTATACGGCTAGAAGCAACTGGTGGGACCAATACACGTGGATTAGCATAACTCCTCTCGTGGACCATTTGTGTGAGGTCTGATTTATTAGCTTGAAACCTAAACAGATTACAGTAATTTGATAAAGCAAAGTAATAGCAAAAAAAAAGAAAAGAAAAGTAAACAGAGAACAACGAACTGGCAAAAAAAAAAAAGGAACAAAACAGCAAACCATGTCCGGAGGTTCCCAGCTTCTTGCACAATTGGGGAAACCAATATCACAGACGAAAACTGAGTAGATAACGATAAATCTGGAAAAAGAATTGAGTGACCCAGAGAACAATGCTCAGGCAAAACCAAATGGTAAATTTTAAAAATAGTATGGATAAAATACGAAAAGATATTCATAACATATAGAAGCTTACAGTTATCGGTAGTCACCCTACGACGGACACATATCAAAACCGGATTCTGTGCAATATTAGCCATTATGTCAGCCCCTTCTATGGCTTCGAACTCATTCCAAAGGGTTAAAATAACAGGCCTAAGCCTTAACACAGAGGAACATATAAAAAATACTCATTAGCAACCCAAATACAAAAGATAAACTCAATAAACAGAGGGGGAAGAAAAGCAAACACCTACTCATAGTTAACAATAACATAGTCACGTGCGATAGATGGGCCTCCTTCAAAATATACCTCTCTAGCAGGAAAGGCACACAAAACAATTCCCATGACATCTGTGAAGCCACAAAAAAAAATCAGAGAAAAACAAATGTATAGGCACAAGGAATTCAAGAACAAGGGGAAAAACAACCAACAAAATATAGAGCTACCTATGAAGTTTTCTGTGTCGGCAACAGCGTCACACGAAGCAATAGAGCGCAGGCGAAAATAGCATGGGAGTTTTGGAGGTTCAATTTCAATTAATTTATCAATCACAGTCTCATTAGTCAAAACCCAATAAAAGCGATAAGAACCAACACTCAAAGAAGAGTCAGGTATCTCATAAACACGGGTTTTTGAAATGCGATACTTCTTAAATGGCATAAGTAGATCACTAACACGATCAATATTCTCATCAATCGTAAGTGCAGTCACTTTAACACCATAAAATAAACAAATCCACAATCAGCACAAGAACCAAAAAAAATTAAACAAGAAACAGCGCAAAACTGCACCTGGAAATCAGAAAAAACAAAGTATCGGAACTTCTTTGTTAGCTCACTGCCACAAGTTGTCTTCACGTGCGATGCCTCGATAAGCTGAACTTGAGATGTCCAATGAACCAGACAAGCATTAACCTCAGGCAAACGCAACATCCCATTAGCATGTTCAGACCACATAGTCTAAAGAAAAATGCTAATCAAGCCCAATGAAAAAAAAACTCGGGAAAAAGAGGAAATCAAAAGAATAGCATAAATACAAAAAATCAGGCAAAGAAAAACGCTAATCAGGCCCAATGAAAAAAAAAACACGGAAAAAGGGGAAAGCAAAACAATAGCATAAATACAAAAAAACAGGCAAACAACGAGCCACAAAAAGTAGAACTAACGATTACATGAATGCAGATATTCAAGCAAAATACGAACTAATAAAAATAGAACTAAAAGACAAACAGAAGAGCAGGTCACCAAGTATAATGGCAGGTTAAAACCTGCAGTTCAAAGAAATATAACAGGGTGGCCTTGCCTAGCCTAGGTGATGATGAACTGAATTGCTTTTCACCCCAACATTTTTAGATAATTTTCTCCCACCACACAGATACATACATACATATATACAGTGCATTAATGATTCATTTATCCAGGCCTTGTATAACTGTTTATATAACTGACACATATTAACAGTAACAGGCATATCCAGGCAGATTTTGAATGCTAATTAATTTCCAAGATTCGACAACCTCAATCAAGAGGAGCCTTATGGGGAAAAAAACACAAATAGGCAACAAGAGCTCCAAGCTTTCAATCAGTCATTTTTTTCGCTTGTTTATTTGTAGCAAGACCATTGTTTTTTTTTTTTACTCTAAACCACACTTTAAAAAAAAAAAGAGACCAAAGAATAAGAAAAAGCACTTTATTACTCAATCAATAGGGCTAAAAGCAAACAAAAAGTTATATAACACATTCCAAGCCTAGCAAAACCTCCGAGGGAAGAAAAAGAAGAACATGAAAAAAATGGAAAAAAACAGAGCAGCTAGATGAAAAGCTTTGCTTGACTAAACCCCGGTGGAAAAAGATATTAAGAAAAAGCACTCTATTACTCAATCAATAGGGCTAAAAGCAAACAAAAAAGTTATATAACACATGAAATAGGAGGAAAATCTGATAGAAACAAACAAAAAAACAAGCCCGGAAGAAGATAAATGTAACAAAAGAACAAGTCACCGGGGAAAAAATTTAAAAGAACAACGAAGACAGCACTGGAGGAAAAAGCACAACAGCCAAGCACTACAACAGTCAGCAAAGGGGAAAAAGAACGGGAAAAGGGAAAAATCTAAGAACCAAGAACAAGGGGAAAAATACCCAAGCAAAACACAAAACAAGCATAAAAGGCAGCACAAAAGAAAAAAACATCTGGCCCAAAATGTAGAAAACACAGAGTCAATGAAGAAGTTAGTTCCGAGCCTAGCAAAACCTCCAAGGGAAGAAAAAGAAGAACAGGCAAAAAATGGAGAAAAACAGAGCAGCAAGATGAAAAGCTTCAGCACCGAGGGATGAATCTCTCAGAAGCAGAACCAACTGTACTCAGGTAATTAGAAAAACAAGACGACACATTTGCTTGACTAAATCCCGGTGGAAAAAGATATTTAAAAAAAAATCATAAACAAGCATTCTAGGGGGAAAAGAGAATACCGGGGAAGAAATGGAGGAGCAGATAGCCAGAAAAACTACAGTGCCGGGGGATGAATCTCTGAGATCCAACACAGGTAAGCAGAACTAACCACGAACGGAGCTAATGCTGAACTGAGGGGGGAAAAAGTAGCTGGAAAAGTAGCACCAAAGGGAATAATGCTTGGAGGGGAAGAAATGGAGGAAAACAGAGCAGATAGCCGGAAAAACTATAGGGCCGGGGGATGAATCTCTGAGATCCAACACAGGTAAGCAGAACTAACCACGAACGGAGCTAATGCTGAACTGAGGGGGAAAAAAGTAGCTGGAAAAGTAGCACCAAAGCGAATAATGCTTGGAGGGCAAGCAGCAGAGCTCAAACCCATTAATGCTCGGGCTGAAAGGCTGAAAAAGGCCGAAGAGTAAAAGTAAAAGTACAACCGATATTATTTATGGCCGTTAGGTACACGAAGGCTAGCTGGAGAAGCGGCCAAGGGAGACAGCGTATTTTTTTCTGATGCACAGCAGCAGCGAGTGTCATGGAACAAGACGACGAAACTAAACTACGATCAAAGCGAGCGAAAAAAAGATATCAAATTGTACGACGTCGTTGCATCTACCACAAACCACGCACAACGCACGTGAGAGGACAACCAAAACGAAGCCGACCAAAGAGGCCTTCGGCTCTTATTCTATATATGTTGAAAATGTTCGACCAAACAAGGCTACATATTCCCTTTCTAAATTTTTTTTTTTAGTTGGGGAAGGATGAGATATAGGAAGTAGGGAAGGAACAGAGATATTTGAATCTAGGGTTAATTACATTTACCTCCCCTAAGGTTTGACCATATTACTAATCAATCCCTGTAATTTGTCCAAATAACGGTCTCACCCTTTGAATGATCAAACGTTTAACAAAAACCCCCTTAATGCCGAAAATGCCCTTATTGAGGCCATGTTGCATTAAAAAAAGAACATATTTTTATTTTATTAACCCTGAAGCAATTCAAAAAAATAGAAAAAAATTTTTCCTTATTATTTTATAAAAACCATATCTTTGCTTTCATAAATAGTTTTGAATCAATAATTATTTTAAATCTTAAAAATGAATATTAAAAGTTAGATAAATTGAAAGAAAAATAAAAAAAACAAGAAATTATTTTAATTCCTGAAGTATGGTTCAAATTGAGGAAAACATGCCTTGTGCTCTCCGCAACATGCCTTGAACCACAAATTCGAACCATACTTGAGGATTTAAAATAATTGTTTTTTTTTATTTTCTTTCAATTTATCTAATTTTTAATATTCATTTTTAAGATTTAAAATAATTATTGATTCAAAACTATTTATGGAAGCAAAGATATGATTTTTATAAAATAATAAGCAAAAATTTTTTTCTATTTTTTTGGATTACTTGAAGGTTAATAAATAAAAATATGTTTTTTTTAATGCAACGTGGCCTCAAAAAGGGCATTTTCGGCATTAAGGGGGTTTTTGTTAAACATTTGATCATTCAAAGGGTGAGACCGTTATTTGGACAAATTATAGGGATTGATTGGTAATATGGTCAAATCTCAAGGGAGGTAAATGTAATTAACCCTTAAATCTAAAATCTCTAATTTTTGAAATTTCAATTTTAACTACTAGACCAAAATCTCATCGAATTATATTCTTGTCAGCAAAAATCAAAATTAGTGCACTTCCTTAGTTTGAAGAGAATAACGCATGAGGTGCATGTTTCATTTAACTAGTTAAAAAAATATATCTACAGCTAAATGCAATTCATAATCGTAAAAGCTCCTGAACAATAAAACACATTGAAAAAAATTTGGTATACAACAACAAAATACTTCCTTAATCACAAAGTACTTGATATATTTTTGCGTATCCTCAATCACAGATTTGGTATACTTCATTAAAATTTTACATATCCCAAATTACTTCCTTAATCACAATTATTGAAATTTTACATATTCCAAATTACTTCCTTTCACTACCATACCGTTGATTAGTATTCTAATTGTTCATATTTCTTTCCTAAATTTTGAATTAATTTAGTGTAAAAAAGAGAATTAATTGTTACACTGACAGATTTATCAATATTGTTGGAAACTGAATATTTATCAATGAAGAAAAATGAATTGCTGGATTTTTTTCTACTTAATTAAATATGAATATATAGTTCTAGATTTGTGATTATTATAAAAATTTAAATTATCTAAAAGAGTATTTGTAAAAAAAGAATATCTATCAATTTTTTTATATGAGGATTTGATATATACTATCACATCATAGTGAAAAGGATGTAAATAAATTTTTAAAAATTAGTAAATAATTGAACGCTTAAAATATATTAATTTTTTAAATTTAATATAAATGAATATGTAGAATTGTTGTTAATTTTTATATTTAAATTATTTATATTTGTATAGATTCAGAATAAATAAAAAAGATCATGCTAAGACACGAACAAAATTTGAGTTAATAATTAAAAAAATATATACTGGCAAAACAATAATAGTATTCCCAAATTTTCCGATCCCTAATAATCTATTACCCCAATTTTGCCACACCCTCACACATCCCTCGTTCCCTCTCACTCTCTTTCACTCCGCCACCGCCAGTCCGGCGATAGACGACATCCCTCACTCCAGTCCGCCGTGAAACGGGCAAGCTTCCAAGACGAAACCCCTCACTCTATCTCTTTCTCGTGCAAGTAAGCCATTTCTGAGCTTCCGCCAGATTGTCCGCTGTTTCCGTTGATTGTCGAAGCCATAGCAGCGATTAGCGAGGCCGCCGGCGACACTATTTCTGTCTCTCACGGTTGCAGCTACAAAGAAGCATATTTTCCTTCCAGCGGCCCAGCTCTCTCTCTCTCACGGGTAATTTTTTTTTTTTTTTTTTAATTTGTCAATACCCTATAAGTTTCTGAAAATCCATTCTAGTAGATGGGGAATGCGTGTGTGGTATTTTTTGTGTTTTCATTGAAGTCTAGGAATGAATGTGTCTTTAAAAGTTATTGTGTCTTTAAAATGCATGTTTTGGGGAAAAAAAAATAAACTTTACTTATTTGTACTTCCTACTAATCCCACCCCTTAAATCTTGACTTGTCCGAAGAAAGCGAAAACTCGATTCCCAGTTCCACTTTCTCCTGCAAATAACGAACAGATCCATTCAATTAAAGAAAATTACAGTAGTATATTCTTTTTCTTGAACAGCAATCACTACACGGTAGGACAGTAATAAGGAAGACTCTTCTTCTCGTCCTAACTCCTAAAGGGCTTTGTGGATTCTCTGTCTTTCTCTGTCTCTATGGCTTTTTTGGTGAGTCTATCATACTGCTACTTTGATCTTCTTCTTGTCTGTTTACTGGCTTGCTTGTTTCTGTGATTTCTTAATTCTTTTTTTTTTGTTGTTGAAAAGTTAAAAGGTCCTTAATTAAAGTAAACGTTGATAATGGGGATGTGGCATCGAAGAAGTTCTACGGAGGATAAGGATGTCAGGGATTAGAGGTAGGAAGACGGGTTGTCGGGATTAGAGGATAAGGATTTTTGTTTCAACTTCACTTGTATTGTATCGGTGTTCTTTTCTTTCGCTATTGGTAGATTGTAGTACCAATAAAATACAAACTGCAAGATTAAAAGCTCTTCTTGTTTTGCTGAAGCAGCGACGTAGTTTTGCCTTTTGTGTTTGGATTTTGGTAGTATTTTGTGTAGGAAACATTTCAGGACGCAGGTTAATAAGTGAAAGATAATAAATTAATAATATATATATGTATGTATGTGGATAATAGTCTATAATAGGGATGGGGGTGGTGGGATTATTATTATTATGGGAATATAAGAAGCAGTTTATTGGAGAAGTTTGTAAGGAGCGTGGTAGCAGTAGTAGAAGGATTATTTGCAGAATTTTATAAAGATTTGTTGGTGTTGGGGTGGAGATTGTGTTCTTATTAGTCGCTTGTAAAAAAAAAAATTGTCACAAATCTATATAGTAGTAGTAGTAGTAGTGTTTTGATTGGGGGAGTGGAGTGGACGGTGAGCAGCATAGCCACGTAGAGAAAAAGGGAATTGGAGTTGGAGTACATAGTAGTGTTTGTTGCAAAGTTAGGTGTCCTATGATCCTTTTCAGTCTGATGAGTCACTCATTTGAGTAATCGTGAGTCAGTGAAATGTTTTGCATTGAAGTCTAGGAAATTGTACCCCTTGTAGAGCTGGATGATGGCTCAATCTAATTAAAGGACCTCTAGAAGGAACCTTTAATGGTTTTTTTTTTTCGGTTTTCCTTTTTTTTGTTTTGGGGAGGGGGGGGGGGGAAGGGTTGGGGGCTGGGTGGACAAAGATTTGCACAACATTGATAAAAGATTCAAATGCAAGAATGACTTCTAAATTTTGAAGTGTTATGCAGAATGGATGAGTTCAAATGCAAGAATGGATAGGTCAAACCTGTACCATCTTAAAGTGTTCATTTTTCCCCTACCATCTTGAAGTGTTCCCATCCCCTGAAATATTTATATAGAAAAGAAAAAAAATGAGTGGCTATGTTTGTCATATTACCTTCGCATGGTAGATTGATCTTGGTTTCATAAAAATATTTTCCTATGCATATGGCTAGACTAGAATTACACATTGCAACTGTATTATTATTTCATTTTAAGAATCCACAACTTAACCATAAATAAAGCTGAGATAAAATATATTAGACCTAGGCCTTAACCTATCAATCTTACAACAAAACACAAAATATTTACGAGTAAATTTTGTTGCTAGACATGAGCCATTTAGTGAAGTTTTGTAGGGTTGCTCCATCTGCCCTGTAGTGCTTTTGAGTAAAATCAAGCAAATCTAACCATTTGAAATTTGGGTACTTCCTTGATGCCTGTCTCTCTACAAGATCTTCTGGAGGTTTTATTAGTTTGTCTTCTCTAGGACACACAAAATATGCTAGTGATATCCTCTCTTTGTACCTGTTGACGATGGCTCTATGTAAGTAACTCTTGAATTCTCCATTTGATATTGCCTGCATGAGCCAAATTAGACCAATAATTGATGTACAATTGGCTGCTTAGGAATTGGTTAATTTCACTGCTGGAAGAGTGATGTTAGTGCATGCAAAAACTATAGACAGTTGTTCTTTTGACAATAACTTTTATTGATCCAAAAATAACCTTCTTGTTGGCCTTTAATTTAAGAATAATGTGTTGGTTCAAAACAAGTCCAGGTCTGATTTGGAGACAGTTTCAAGACCCATTATGGCCCTTCAAAAACTTTATAGGAGAGGAGTTAGTTTTATTCTCTCTAAAACTTTAGATACAACAGTTTCTCTCTTCACAAATTACATTATTGGCCTTTTTTTACAAGTCTTTCCTAGAATATTATTGATTACCACCTACTTTAAATAGTTGCCATTTTTTTTACTATCAACAACTTTTGTACACTTGAAATTTCTCAATTCCAGTAAAGGACACATGACCAGTTTTGATTGCAATGATATACGTGTTTTTGTGGGTTGGACAAATTTCATAGTTTTAGTTTCTATGCTATGACAATACAAGGTATTACGTGAGGGTATCTACTATTAATTATAGCTACTGTTTTATCACCAAGATTGGGCACCCTACCTGTGACTCACTAACTCAACTTTGCACCCTTAACCATACTTAAGCTTTGTACCGACTCTTATATTAGCCTTCTGAGTTTCAAATAAGATTCTTTGCCCTCTGAAGTCTTTTACCTGTAATGGTTAACAATATTTAGAAGACATGTTGAGGAAACGCACTTTTTTTTTTTGGTAGAACAACTGTCATCTTTTTAATCAAATTTTGTGTATTATTATGTACATATCAAAATCCTATGAAGTCTGATTTGAAAGTTTTAAAACATACAAAACGCGCATTGATTAACAAATCATCTAAATTGGGCTTCTCATCATCATTCTAATGATTAAATTCTTCTTTTATCTGCTAATAAATAGCAATAACTGAGCTTCTGACTAGAGACAATTAGGATCAAAGCATGAATTCCTCCAGGGATTTTGTCAACTTATTTCTTGTTCTACCACATAGGCTTCCCTTGACAGACAGGAAGATTACCCCAACTTTTTCTATAATCTATCAGAAACGAGAATTCTAGTTCAGGTTTTAGACCAAGAATTCTAGTTCCGGTTTTAGACCAAGGATTCTTGACTTTGGTTCTACTATAAACCAATGTTTAAGCTATTAATGCCAACCTCTCGATAGACACAACAATCATCCTTGCCGTCCATATATGCATACTAATTTAATTCCCTTTTCTTGATGATGCTGAGTGTGATGTACCTGAAACATCTTCTTAAACTCAGATTAGTTCTCCAATTATTGTAGTAGCCTCAAGTTTACTATCTTTGACCTTCTTCTTGAAAATGGAATCACTAGATCAAAAGTTGCTTGACCAAGAAACAGAGAGACAAGTAGCAGACCATCAGATGCACCAAAGATCTCACTTCTACAGACACGTGTCCACAGATCCATCCCCTAAAAGAACCTGTAATATAAATTTCCTGTAATATAAATTTTATTTTCTCTGATTGATGAGGCTTTGTTTCTACTTAAACCTAGCATAAGAGTGCTTTCTAACTTGGTGAAGGTTTTTGAATTCCATACCCATATATTCTGTTCAGAAATAGGGCATTTTCTGTTTCTTTTGCAAGAACCTATTGAGGTAAGTAACAAGGGTCGTGTGATCTTCATCATCAGATTCTGAAATAGGTTATTCTTGTAGATGGCAGTAGTAGATGCAGAAGCCTGAAGTATTCCACTTATTTCTACAAACTTGTTCTGTTTATCTCATCTTCCATCTTTTTCCAATGCTTGTATACTTCTATATTGGAAATTCCATTAAAAACAGAGGGGGAGGAACGAACACTAAACAGGCAACAGACTTTGTGTGAGAGTCAAGTTTCCTTCAATTAATTCCACTTTTATCGCACCTGTAGTGAAATCACACCTGTAGTTAAACTTGTAGTTGATTCCTGCATAGCACCTCAAATTTCAAATTTGACACTTTAATTGCACCTAAAGTGTTTAGTTGTTCAATTAAAGGCAATCATTGTTAAACTTGTAGTTGATTCCTGCATAGCACCTCAAATTTCAAATTGACACTTTAATTGCACCCTAAAGTGTTTTAGTTGTGCCAATTAAATGCAATTGTTGATACTATTAAAGAACTTATTGAATCATATTTTATATTTTTTAATTGCACCCTAAAGTGTTTTTGTTGTTCCAACTAAATACAATTGTTGATACTATTAAAGAACTTATAGAACCATATATTTCTTGTTAAAGGATATTTCCTCCCTTTTCTTGATAAATCTAGCTTAATTTCATTTCTTTTCTTCTAACCAATAATTTTGACAAATGATTTATTATTTTTGAATAATTAGTTCATACATTTGCATTTGGTGAGCACCCTTGCACAGCATGCACCCGATTAGTTTTTCTAGTTGGGAGATGATTTGAGTATTAGCTTTCATTATGCCTATGATTACTTCAGCTAGTTGAGAGAAACTAGAAATCAGTTTCATTATTTTCTCACCACTGCACTGGTCTAATACACTAATAAATTAAGTCTAAACAGTAGCAGCAGTCCCCGCCTCCTCCTCCACCAGTTGAGGGCTAAGGCTTTTATCTCTCCATCATCTGTGGGAGAGAGGATCCGAAGAAGAAGGGGCAGGCACAAATCACATCATCGACGATGGCAGGTCTACTCTACCACGTGTTCTCATCCTCGGCTCTGCTCTCCTTGGGACTCTACCATCTCATCTGCACCACCAAGAACCACCTCAAGTCTCCCCGAGATTACACCGCCAGACCCTACCACCCTCTCCCCAGCGGCGCCCACCGCTTCCTCCGCCATCTCCAGCTCTACCTCCTCATCCTTTGCCTCCTCGTCGCCTTCACCCACCAAACCCTCGTATCCTCCGATTCCGACCCCCTCCTCAAGGGCCGCACCCCCGTCCACCGCTTCACCTCCCTCCAGTCCGCAGCCGTCCTCTTCCTCTTCCTCCTCCTCGCCCTCACCCTCCTCCTGTCTGAGTCCACCCCTCTCCTCCCATCCTTACCTCCAGATCTCTTCTTCGGCCTTGCCTCTGCCATCTTCTTCCTCCACTACTCCATCTCCTCAGCGTCCGCCTCTGTCCAGACCTCCGATCTCCAGGCTGAGTGCGACCGTGTCTCCGCCCGGGTCTCTGCCCTCTCCTCCCTGCTCTGCCTCATCCTCGCCTGCCACCCGAGGCTCTTTTTCGCCGATGCCGGCCTTGCCGCCTCCCTCTGCCTCCAGGGCCTCTGGGTCCTGCAGACGGGCCTCTCCCTCCATGTTGACGCCTTCATCCCGGAGGGCTGCCACAAGCTCCTCGACGTGGTCAGTGGCGTCGAGGGCTCTACCAAGTGTGATCTCGAGGACTCCAAGCTGAGGGCCGTGGCCATCCTAGATCTCGTGTTCGTGGTCCACGTATTCTTTGTGCTTCTCATCCTCACGGTCACCTACGCCGCAGTAGCCAAGACACTAGGCTTAGGGGGAATTAGGGGATTCGGCTCTTACGAGGTCTTGCCTACCGTGGACTTGAATCACAATCACATTCAGATGAAGGCTATGTCAGGAACGCAGGCCTGACCGGCGTTGGAAGAATGTATACATAGCACCATTGGATATACTAGTACCAATTCCCACCAAAAAAAAAAAAAAGAAGAAAAGGGCAGGGTTAGTGTTCCAGCAACCTCCACCTCCTTTTCCTTTATGTCTTTCTTCTCCTGACATCACAAACACCTTTGTAATTCTTGGAACTTCTCTTTGTTGGTTCGTAGTAAATTTTTGCTTGCCTTAAGCTTGAAAAAAAAAGTTTCATTATTTTCTTTTACAAGTTTCAATTTTTTCGGCTTCAGTTTCTAATATCTCAAATATGTATTACCATCAAAAGAGCCATCTATTTATTTTTTTTTTTTTAAAAAAAAATCAAAGGAGCAATCTAATGAAAATCTAAAACTAGTGCCATTGTCGTAGGACTAATGAATTTTTAGTAGCATATGCTGTCGTACTTGTGATTCAATCAATCTTTTTTACCACATTGATGATTGGAATAAGGTAATATGGATAAAACACTTAAGGTACGAAGTGTCATGAAATTGAAGTTTGGGGATGCAATATGATATCAATATAAGTTTAAGGTAGGAAAGTGATGTTAAGGTCATATTTTCTGGCAAGACAAACATGACAAGGTTATGGTTTTTATCACCTTCTTAGGCGCAAAATATAGACGTTTTGATGTACTGTTAAGGTCACCTTTTCTGAACATGATGTTAAGGTAATATTTTGTTTGTGTAGTTTAAAAGCGCAAGGCTAACTATTCGCTGCGGTATAACTAACTATTTTCTCTGGGTCGGCGATGGTTTTGTCCTCTCCGGATTCTTTCTGGATCTCTTCAGATCCCCCTCTCTCTAATATAGAGTAAGTGCAGGCCTATCATGTCCCAAAAAAAAAAAAAAAATAGTCACGGTATAACTAATAAGACAGTTTAGATACAACAAGTCCATATCTTAAGTTTAAATGAACTAGTCTTGTTCTCAGTCTATGATTGACCTTATGTTCAAAATGGTATTAAAAATGTCTACTGAATGATTCTACGAGCAGAAGATATCCTGTTAACAGAAAGAGTAAAAGTTGAATTGATATCTACATCTACATTCTACACCAATTCAATTGGGACTATGACCCCCTGATTTATGACTGATTCTCATTTGGCATTTTTTAATTTTTATTCTGGACAGATTGAATTTTAAGCTTTTAAATCAGTCCCATTTTGATGCTTTCATAACCACTTTGAGAAAATTTCCTCATCGCTTGCTACTTATTATAAAGGATCTTTTCTCTTTTTCTCGCTACTTGTTTCTTTAGGTTTAGATCGAAGCCTTCTTAATTATTTAGACTTGGGTACAAATGGAGACTTGGATCTAGAAGGTACCAAAAAAAAAAAAAAAAAAATTAGTTGAGACCAAATCTGCGTTGCTAATCGAATTTCTAAATTGGACAAAGGATATTAGAAGATTGGGAAAAGTCAGAAATTGACTTGAACAAAGAGAACTTGATTCTTTAATACTACCATGATTCTCTTAAAATTTCAAAAGATGGAGCCATCCACATGAAGAGAATTATGTACAGGATAAGTTAAGCAACCTTCCTTCAACTGTCAGGGCTTTCTTCACTTCTTTTTCAGTTTTGCTATATCTTATTTTGTAATATGTTGGTTTGTCTTATGGTTTATTATGACATGTTAGATGCATCAAAATTTCAATAATAGCCTCAAATTCCGATTTTTCATTCTTACCATATTTCATTAGCTACGATACCTATGATTGATGACATTCAGAGCAGATTTGAAATGAAATTTGATGAACATAAAGAATCAAATGTCAAGGTTAAAACTGTGGACTCCACGTTGATATTTTTTTTTCACATTAGGAATTGCAAATGAAACATTTAAGATACTATAATTTGAGGTAGCGGGGGAGCTAAAACCCCAAGGTTTGGGGCGGAGAACTGCTTCAGTATACAATACTATATCACGGAAGTCATATTTTATTTACATAATAGATTAGAATTTATTTTTACATACATTGACAATATATACATTATTATGGTTGGATGCATGACACATATTCAAAATTTGAATTTCAAATTTAAATTTATTTTAGTTGTCATGTATCTAACGGTGATAGTGTGTATACTATCAGTATATATAAGATTAATCCAATAGATAAAAGTTAGTATAGGTTAGCATAGATAACCAGTACAAGAATGTTTTGATAATTTTAAAATTATAAAAAAAAAATTTCACAGACAATAGTAATATTGAAGCAATGATTTGATTAATATTTCTATACACTAGACAATTATAGTTCTTGAAAAATGAATTCAAACAAAGATAATTCATTTATTTTTAAGTACACATAATTTTAGGATTCTTCTTTTTTTTTGGACTAATTATTGATTTACATTTTGAATGTGTTCATCCTTAAAGTGGGGAGAAAATTTAATTACTTTATAAATTTATGAGGGCAATGCAAAGGAAAAAAGAACATTAAAAATTTTAGAGGTGGAAAATGTAAGACAAAATTAGAAATTTTAAAGCTTTTCAAGCCAACTTTAAAAACTTTTCAAAGTTGAAATGAAGCCCACCCTCAACTTAACATGATGGTTATGCTTAGAAACTTTAACGACTTAAGGAACTATTTTGGTAACCAACAAAAAATAAAAAATAAAAATAGTTTTAAGGAACTATCCAACAAATTGATAGTTTTTTTTTTGGGCAACGAGATAACATTCGTATAACCTAATCTATCCTATTGGGGCTAACAGATATACAGACCTGACTAGATCAAAAGAGTATTTTGACACCTCTTTTGAACTTTGTTCACTGTAGGTGGGGTTTAAATCCCTGATCTACAGTCCAAAGAGGGACTTAAGACTTGTTTGGTAACTTAGTTTAATACTTAAATTTAATAGATTCAAATCTTAACATATTCAAATTGTTTGATAAGTAAAAATTAAATATCTGAATTAATTAAGTGGCATTGAATTTTCTAGGCAAAACTTGCTTCAAAGATTAAGTGATAAACTATTCACTTATCACTGAATGTGATATGTACTCAAATGTATTAAATTTAATACTTAACAATTTAATAACTTAATATATTCAAATTTCAAATTTCAATTTTATTAAATGCATCTTAGTCCCTTTTCAGTGACCACTGAGTGGTTCCAACAAATTGATAGTGCATTAGTGAAATTGTAATGCAATTCATGCAAATAGTACCAGCACAGTGTAGTTGCATACCACGTGTGTTTTCCTAGCACCCATGTGAGTGAAGTTGGTACTTGGTACTTGAGATCAAATATCAATGCCACAAAAAAAAAGGATTGGGTTGGTAGAAATAATAGTGTGCTACCTTTAATGATCACAAGGGGTCCTAAGAAAACACACATGTCACGAATCATAAAACCTCCTATAATTATAATACGTTTCGTTTGAATTAGCTATTTTTGAAGGTATTTTTAAAATATTTTATTGTAATAGTATATACAAAAAACTTTTTACTATAATTATTTTTTGTGATGTTTTTAGAGATATTTTTGGAATATATTTTGAAGTATTTTTAAAATTTAAAAATTTTGTAATATTTTTTAACCCACTACCGCTGCCACTACCACCCCATCCGTTCTCCTTCGTCTTTCTTCCTCTTTTTCTTCCTCCTTCATCTCTTTCCTCCTCCCATCTTCCTCCTCCTTTCCCCTTCTCCTCCCTTTCCCTGCCACGTCTCACCCCTTTCCTTTCCCCCTTACCCCTTTCCCTTTAATAGGAAGGGAATGATGCACGTGTTTGGTCATTTCACATTATGCGCATGATGAAGCCACATAAATGCAGCGGAGGAGACTAACTGAAATCAATTATAGCCATGCAGACGTTAGTTATGGCCATGCAGACGTCATTTCAGGCCATGCAGCTGGAGCTGGTTAGCTGGAGTTAGTTAGCTAGAGTTTGTTAGGGAGAATCTAGTGACATCAGTCGAGGTCAGCACTAGCCTGGCCTAATAAACCGACTTAGTAACCGACATAGAATGCTATAAATAGGAATTGGGTCTGGGAAATGGGGATCAACACCTTCATAATATCTTGTAACAATTTCTACATTTCTTCCTTTCCATGTAATCTCTCAGTTACTCTGATAATTACATTCTCTTCATCTTTTGATCTTCGAAGTTACTTTTCCGCCATTTTTGTAGCTTCAAGGTCATAGATAGTAGACCTCCACTGACTTCTGCATCAGGAAATGGAGGGTTGGGGTATGGTAAGAAAGAGGAGGGGAAAGGGAAAGAGGAGGAAAGAAGAGGAAAGAGGAGGAAGAGGAGGAGGAACAGAGAGGAAGGAGGAAAAAAGAGGGGATGGTAGCGGTGGTGGATAAGGGTGATAATAGTGGGTGATGGTGATAGATGAAAGAAGAAAATGATGTAGATTTTATTTTCTATTTTTTTTATATATTTGGAATTATTTTTGATATATTATAAGGATATGGTGTTTTTAGAGTTGTTTTTGTTTGTGTGTTACTATAATATTGTATATGAAAATTTTGTTTTTTAAAAAATGAGAAATCCAAACGGAGCTATAGTTTTTCATCATTCACCTTACATGTTTGGTTTGGAACTAAAACATGTTTTATTCTATTAGGAAGTTAATGGATTTAAAAACAAGTCTTAAATAAGTAACAATAACGAGCAAAATTTTATACTTTGATTCCTATTGAATAATTCTCATAGTCACCAGTGGACTCAAAAGTTAACATTTGGAGGGCAAAACTAGTGAATAAGTATTCTTAAGGAGGCATTCTTATATTTCTCCTAAAAAGCTCCATTGGCAAAGTTTAACATTTTCAAGGATACAAGTGAATTCGTACTTGACAGAAGGTACATGGACTTCAATTTACATAAAACATTTCATTTTCTAATTAATAGGTATCATTGCCTACACTTTAGCAAAGTCATGAACTTAACTGTCGAGTTATGACTGATAGTTTATTAGTCCAACTTTGGAGGAGTTACAAGTTAGATCTCTCCTAGTGCAGTGATTTTAGGACTAAACAAGTTTGATATCTCCAATCGCAGTAGATTCTATTTCGAGGCCATTTTCAGGGTGAAATGAGTATTAATAGTGTTCGAATTTAGGATATGGGATAGCTGATTGTAGAGATGTAATATTACATTACATTTATGAAAGTTTTCAATTGTGTGAAGTGAAGTATACCGATCCTAAGAGCCAATAAGAATTTTTAAGTCTCCAA